CCCCCTCGCGGCACGGCGCGGTCTCCCCGCCCCCCCCGCGGCGCGGCTCGGGTCTCCCCCCCCAGGCGCGGCTCGATTCCTGGGGGCGGGGCTTGCAGCAAGCCCCGCCCCCAGGAATCAGGCCCCGCTCTTGCTAAAGTCGGCCCTGCCCGAAGGGGAACTTGATAACTAACAATTGCTTTGAAATGGGGGAACAGTATAACCATGATGCTCAGGGTTTGTTTAGATTAGGAAAAGTGATGGAGTTTAGGTCAGGTCAAGGGGGAAGCTAATGCCAATCACTGCACCTGGGCTGCATCTGCTCTACAACTATAATTGTCTTTTTATACCAAGATCACTAACTTGAGCAGCCAATGCCATGTACAGTCCTAGTGGATGTAAGACACAGGTAGTTTTTGCCTCAGTGTACCTTGTTTTATCAAACCTCTCTCCCCCACCTGGAGATGATGAACATTCCTGGCTGGAGGGACACACACTCCTATAACTCAAAAGGAAAGGAGTTGACAGAAAAGATCACAGGACTGACTCCAAAGAAGGTGAGCTGCAAAAGGTAGAAGCAGGCAACTCATCTGGTGGAGCTGAGAGATCACGGTGAAGATGGTGCAAAATTCTTTCGCCAGCCCTAGTCAAGGCATTTATTACAGTTCTCTCTCATGTGGATTTTCTGATGTGTAATAAGGCTTGAGCTCTGATTGAAACTTTTCCCACACTCAGAGCATGTGTAGGGCATCTCCCCTGTATGGATTCTCTTATGTTGGATAAGGTGTGAGCTCCGACTGAAGGTTTTCCCACACTCAGAGCATGTGTAGGGCCTCTCTCCTGTGTGGATTCGCTGATGTGTGATACGGGCTGAACTATGAATGAAGCATTTCCCACACTCAGAGCATCCATAAGGTTTATCACTTGTGTGGATTCTCCTATGTGTTCTCAGGGTAGAGCTGCAATTAAAGCTTTTCCCGCACTCAGAGCATGTGTAGGGCTTCTCTCCTGTGTGGATTCTACGATGTCTGATAAGGTGTGAGCTCCGATTGAAGCTTTTCCCACACTCAGAGCATGTGTACGGCTTTTCCCCTGTGTGGATTTGCTGATGTGAAATGAGAGCTGAACTATGAATGAAGCATTTCCCACACTCAGAGCATTTATAAAGTTTCTCACCCGTGTGGATTCTCCGATGTGTGACAAGGTGTGAGCTGTGAGTGAAGCTTTTCCCACACTCAGAGCATGTGTAGGGTTTCTCTCCAGTGTGGATTCTCTGATGCGTGATAAGGTTTGAGAACTTATTGAAGCTTTTCCCGCACTCAGAGCATGTGTAGGGCGTCTCTCCAGTGTGGTTTCTCCAATGTGTGACAAGGTCTGAGCTCCGATTGAAGCTTTTCCCACACTCATGGCATTTGTAGCATATCTCTTCCAAGTGGATTCTGTCACGTGTAATAAGGTCTGAGTGCCTACTGAAGTTTTCCTCTGGCTTCTGCTGAGTCTCACAGCCTTTTGCTTTTTCTCGGAGTGCACAACACCTGGAAACATTGCCTTTGCATCTTCCTGATAACGTCCCATGTGGATCCACTTGCTCAGCATCTTCCTCCTGGGGTTTCTCCTCCTTATTCTCACTCACCATCCCATCACCTGATGGGAGACAGAGAGAATCCAGACATAGGTCACACCCTGTGCCAGAAAGAAAGGAAATCTCAGAGACAGGAATGGAAAAAGGGATGAACAAACCAAAATATGTGCAGGAGAGATCAAACCTATCAGGAGCTGATTTTCCCCAAACCCTTCCCCAGAGGAGAGAGGATGGGATCAGTTTTGGTCCGTATCTCACCAGAACACTCAGGGGAAAGCGATATCAGGGAGGAACCTGCTGCCAGTTGTCAGTCAGTATAGAAGGGAAGCCATGAGTGACATCTGCCATAATGATTCCACATCTGAAGGAAACAATCCTGAACTTGGAGAGCTCATAGGGTCTATGTTGGGCATCCCAAATGTTTTCTGCGTTCCCAAACAGTTTTTGAGTTGGTTTAACCAATTCCTCACCTGTGTAGGCAGCTCTCGGGAGCACTTCTTTCTCAGAGCCCTGGAGGTCCGGGACCCATGGCTCTTCCCCTTGTTCCAGCTGCGAGATCACATCAGGTTTGGAAATTGGAAACCCTACTCCAGGCAAAGAAAACAAGGGAGGTCAGTGGAATTTGTGGGATACTTGTCACAAAGAATATTCCATGGTTTGAACCCCAGCTCATTTTTAAGCAGTAACATCCCAAGGCCAGCTTCCTTGGCTCAAAGTGGCATGAGAGTTATTATTATTATAAATCATATGCATTACCTTAATGCCTAAGGACCAACTAACAGTGGGTCCCCATTGTGCTAGGCAAAGTACAAACAGAGAATAGAAGATGGCCCATGCCCTGAAGAATTTACAATCTAAATAGACAAGACAGACACAGAATGGGGGAAGGGGTAGAACCTACTGTTAGAATAGAGAAATTCAGGCCTGCCTGTAAAGCCTATACTTTAAGAACTTAGGTGTATTTTTATCACTTTGTCTTTATACCCCTGTAATTAGCTAAGAATCAAAATCACAGTCCGCCTGTGTCTGGGCCTTGTCTCACTAGGAGAGTCTGAGGCCTTGTTCTCAGGCTAAGGCCTTTGGCTAAGCAGCAGGGGCAGCCATAAGCTGGGAAGTGTACGGTCACATCCTCATCTCCCAAACCAGTCATGTTGAAATAAGGTGCTATTGGGCTGTTAGGAAGATGATACTGTCCGGATAGTGCGCATCACCACCAGATAAAGAAACAGATCTTAAGACGGTTAAAGAAAACTTAGGGCTGGTCTACACTAGGAGGTTATGTCAAATTTAGCAGTGTTAAATCGAATTAACCCTGCACCCGTCCACACAACGAAGCTATTTAGTTCAACATAGAGGTCTCTTAAATTCGATTTCTGTACTCCTCCCCAACGAGGGGAGTAGCACTAAATTCGACATGGCCATGTCGAATTAGGGTAGGTGTGGATGGAATTCGACGCTAATAGCTCCGGGAGCTATCCCACAGTGCACCATTCTGTTGACACTCTGGACAGCAGTCCGAGCTCGGATGCTCTGACCAGCCACACAGGAAAAGCCCCGGGAAAATTTGAATTCCTTTTCCTGCCTGGCCAGTTTGAATCTCATTTCTTGTTTGGACATTGTGGCGAGCTCAGCAGCACTGGCAACGATGCAGAGCTCTCCAGCAGAAGTGACCATGCAATCTCAGAATAGAAAGAGATTAGAAAGGCATGGACTGATTGGGAAGTCTTGGATCTGATCGCTGTGTGGGGCGATGAGTCCGTGCTTTCGGAGCTGCGCTCCAAGAAACGGAATGCGAAGATCTACGAGAAGATCTCAAAAGGCATGACAGAGAGAGGATACAGCCAGGATGCAACGCAGTGCCGCATGAAAATCAAGGAGCGGAGACAAGGTTACCAGAAGACCAAAGAGTCAAATGGACACTCCAGATTCTAGCCCCAGACATGCCGTTTCTACGAGGCACTGCATTCCATTCTAGGTGCGGCCGCCACCACTACCCCACCACTGACCGTGGACTCTGAGGATGGGATATTGTCGACAGCCGCTTCCTCGGAGATGTTAGCGGACGGGGAAGATGAGGAAGGAGATGAGGAGGATGAGGCAGTCAACAGCGCTTACAACACTGATTTCCCCGACAGCCAGGATCTCTTCATCACCCTCACGGAGAGCCCCTACCAACCCTCCCCAGGCGTTAACCCGGACCCTGATTCAGGGGAAGGATCATTCGGTAAGTGTTTTAAACATGTAAACATTTATTTTGAACAGAACAGGAATATTAATAATAGGTTTTTCATGATTAGTTTATCCTAGGCGCTTAACGTTTTAGTCCTTGGCAGTGCAACTACTGCGAAAGAATCTAACCGTGTCCGGTTTATCATGATTAGTTTGCCCTAGACACTCTACTTTTTAGTCCTTTCCAGTGCAGTTACTGGAAAATAAGGTCTATATGTCCGGGGATAGAGCTGAAATCCTCATGGGACATCTCCACGAAGCTCTTCTGGAGGTAACTGGAAAGCCTTTGCATGAGGTTCCTGGGGAGAGCGGCCTTATTGTGGCCTCCGTGGTAGGAAACTTTTCTGCGCCAGGCTATCATCAAGTACTCTGGGATCATTGCCTCGCAGAGCATGGTGGCATACAGCCCTGGTTTTTGCTGGCTTTCACGCAGCAAAAAGAGTGGTCTTTCTCTATGTCAGAAATCCTCATCAGAGTGATGTCACTCATGGTGACCTGCTTTAAATTAGGGGAATGTTAGTATTGGGACTGCTTGCCTGTTTCTTTACATAACTGTAACTGGTGGTTTACAGCCACGCGGTGGAGGCGGGAGAGGGGCAGCATACAGGGATCTTTCCCGGGGACAGCCGCGAGGGGGTGGGACAGGGGCAGAGTTCATGCTTGCCGGATTGCCGGCAGCAGGAACTGGCCAACGCTAGGAGCATTGCTTTGAACGTGAAAAGAGGGCAGTGCTATAATTTAAGTTTTAAGCAGCCAAAAGTCTACGGCTTACCATGTCAGCCCGCTACCCAAATTCCGCTGTCCTGCCCCGCTTGTCTGATCTCCACTGCAAGACCCCAGGCACTGAATGCGAAGGCCGAAAATTCAACCTTGTCCTGAGTTCGCATGTGATAGGTGCTGTGCATGGTCTTGTTCACAGAGAAAGACTATGTTCATTGTTCACAAAAATGTATCTTTGTGAGGAATTCACTTCCTTTTCCCCATCCCACAGCTGCGACTGTCTCCCGACCTACCCCGGCATCCCCCTCCCATAGGCTGGCGCAGATTAGACGGAGAAAGAAAAGAACATAGGACGACATGTTCTCAGAACTTATGGGCTGCTCCCGAGCCGAGGCAGCCCAGCAGACGAGAACATGTCGCAATACCAGCGATCACACAGCGAACGGGAGGAGAGGTGGCGGCAGGAAGACCAGCAGGTGACTCAAACGCTGCTTGGACTAATGAGGGAGCAAACGGACACGTTCCGGCGCCTTGTGGATGTTCTGCAGGACTGGAGGCAGGAGGACAGAGCCCCGCTGCAGTCTCTCTCTAACCACCCTCCCCAGCCACAAAGTCCCATACCCCCCTCACCCAAAGTCACAAGAAGAAGGGGCGGCAGGAGCCGTGAAAACTGTCACTCCACCCCTACAGACTGCTCAAGTACCAGAAGGCTCTCATTCCCAAAAATCTGATAAGTCCTTTCCTTCCCACCTCACCCAAGCCCCCGTCCCAGTTTCATCCCCTAACTGTGTAGTTGCTAATAAAAAATATGTTTCTCTTAATTACTGTTTCCGTCATGTTCTTTTAGAGGCGAGTGTGTTTGAAGGGGGGGAAGGGGGTTGGTAATTGGAGAGGACAGTCACCTTTACCAGGGTACAGACACAGGGGCACATTCAGCAGAAGGTCACACACACATTGCAGTCACCAGGCACCCTGGTCAGTCTGGGAGGTGGTTTTCATGTTCTGTGTGTGGGGGGGCTATGTCACTTTGTGGCGCGAGAGGGCGGTTAGAGATCTGATGCAGCGGTCCTTAGCCTGGATCACAGAGCCACGCAGCAGATCTGTAACCGTCCTCCCCTGCCACAAAGTCACATAGCCCCCCCCCCCCCACAGTCCCGAAAAGGAGGGGTGGCAGGCTCCGTTGAAACAACCAGTCCACTACTGCGGACCGCTCTAGAAGCAGGAGCCTGTCATTCCTTAAGTTTAGAAGCATTCTTTCCATCACTACGCCCGCTCCCCACCACAGTCTGCATCCCAGTTTCAACACTTTGCCACGAAATCCGTAATAAAGAAAACGGTGTTCATTAACAAAGTTCCATTTATTTTATTTTTAAACATGTGTTGGATGGAGGGGAACGGGGTATGTAACTGCAGAGGAGAGTCAACATTAACTGCGTAAAGAAACAGGGGCAGGATCAGCTTCTCTTTAAACAACGTAATAGTCACAGGTTACCCTGCTCACTGAGGAACCTAGCTTTGAAAGCCTCCCGGATGCACAGCGCGTCCCGCTGGGCTCTTCTAATCGCACGGCTGTCTGGCTGGGCGTAATCAGCAGCCAGGCTATTTGCCTCAACCTCCCACCCTGCCAGAAAGATTTCCCCCTTGCTCTCACAGAGATTGTGGAGCACACAGCAAGCTGCAATAACAATGGGGATATTGGTTTCGCTGAGATCAGAGCGAGTCAGTAAGCTTCTCCATCTCCCCTTGAGACACCCAAAAGCACACTCCACCACCATTCTGCACTTGCTCAGACGGTAGTTGAAGAGTTCTTTTTCAGTGTCCAGGGCGCCTGTATAGGGCTTCATGAGCCAGGGCATTAGCGGGTAGGCTGGGTCCCCGAGGATCACTATAGGCATCTCCACATCCCCAACAGTTATTTTGTGGTCCGGGAAGTAAATGCCTTCCTGCAGCCATCTAAACAGACCAGAGTTCCTGAAAACACGAGCATTGTGAACCTTGCCTGGCCATCCGACGATGTTTGTAAAACGTCCCCTATGGTCCACCGGTGCTTGCAGCACCATTGAAAAGTAGCCCCTTCTGTTAATGTACTGGCTGGCCTGGTGGTCCGGTCCCAGGATAGGGATGTGAGTTCCATCTATAGCCCCACTGAAGTTTGGGAATCCCATCACGGCGAAGCCATCTATGATGACCTGCACGTTTCCCAGGGTCACTACCTTTGACAGCAGTAGCTCAATGATTGCATTGGCTAATTGCATCACAGCAACCTCCATGGTAGATTTGCCCATGCCAAAGTGGTTCGCGACTGACCGGTAGCTGTCTGGCGTTGCAAGCTTCCAGAGGGCTATGGCCACTCGCTTCTGGACAGTCAGGGCTGCTCACATCTGGGTGTCCTTGTGCTTCAGGGCAGGGGACAGCAACTCACAAAGTTCCAGGAAAATTCCCTTACGCATCCAAAAGTTTCGCAGCCACTGTGATTCATCCCAGACCTGCAGCACTATGCGGTCCCACCAGTCTGTGCTTGTTTCCCGGGCCCAGAATCGCCGTTCCACAGCATCAATATGACCCATTGCCACCATGATGTTCACGGCACGGGGTCCTGTGCTTTGTGAGAGGTCTGTGCCCCTCTCAGACTTAATGGCCTCACCGCGCTGCTGTAGCTTCCTCGCCCGATTTCTCAGCATCTGACTCTGAAAAAGGTGGACGATAAGGTGTGAGGTGTTGACAACGGCCATAACTGCAGCGATGATCGCAGCGGGCTCCATGCTCACAGTGCTGTGGCGTCCGCGCTTTCACTCACCAGAAAAGTGCACAAACTGATTGCCCGCCGGCGCTTTCAGGGAGGGAGGGCGGGAGTGACGGTTGAATGACGACAGTTACCCAAAACCACCCTCGACACATTTTTTGCCCCAGCAGGCATTGGGGGCTCGACCCAGAATTCCAATGGGCAGCGGGGACTGCGGGAACTGTGAGATAGCTGCCCACAGTGCACCGCTTCCAATGTCGATGCTTGCACCGTCAGTGTGGACTCACAAAGTCGAATTACTATCCTTAGTGTGGATACACACGTTTGACTTTATAATATCGGTTCCACAAATTCGATTTAAGTAAAATCGAACTACTATCATAGTGTAGACATACCGTTAGTTTGATAGCATCCTGTTATAGCCCTAAGGTTTAATCTGCTTGTTTGCATAGATATATCTTTAATTATAAATTTGAGTATTTGATGTAATACGTTTATAGATTTATATTAAAAGTAAGTTTGGCTGTAATGCAAGAGACCTATAGGCTAAAACCCTGTATGTTAAGTTAAAGCAAAGTTAGCATATCTATATTGGGACCCTTTACCCAGAAAAGTAAAGATGACCCAAATAGATAAAACACCCAAGCAGATGTCTAGAGACCTTTACCTAACCCAATACACAATGCAGGATGGCAAAGGGCATTTTTCAAAGTTGTACCCACAGACTTAACAAGTACACCACAAGTGCGTACATACCTGTCATCCATACGCATATACATACTAGCCTATGAGGTAAGTGTACCCTAACATTTTTGTGGGGGAAGGATGAAATTTGGGCATAAGAGGAAGGATTTCTGACCAATGCTCTATAAAAAGATGATTCATCTCACCATTTTAGAGGCAATCTACTCTTCACTGTCTCCATATTCAACAATGTATCGATGCTCCCCATCTATGACGGCTATTAACTATTAATAGGCCGTACTTTGTTTCTTTTCAAACTTTAAGTTTTAAGGGGACTAGGCTAAGCTTGGTTTCCCTACGCTTTATTTCTGTTTAAGGTTTATTAAGTTAAGTTAGAGAGTAAACAGCTTTAACAGCTCTTTGCATCAGTTTCCTCTGGTAGAGGTGTGAAGCCAGAACTGCCAGAGGCGGGGTCCTGTATCTTCCAACACCAGGTTATTAAAACAGAGTGTGAGTATTAATCAAAGTTTGCAGCACATAATATTGTATTATCATATGTATCTCTTGAATAAATGTAGTACAATTGCAACTCTGTAATTCTAACTGTTTTACCATCTGCTTACTATTTCATTGATTTTAAGAAAAGGTCTTTATGACTATATCTGTCTCAGTGTGAACTTCCTGTCATACCCCCGAAAGTCCTTTTATAACATCTGTGAAGCCTGATTCAGGACGAACTTTTATCTTCTGATCAAACAAATTGGCGAGCCTAAACCCATACTAATTAATGTTATCAATCAATTAAAAATTAATTAAATGAAATACATTAAGTGGATAAATTAAATCAACATTAGTAACACACCCCAAATCAGGCTACACTGTCTGGCAAGAAATCACTTATCAATGATTATGGTTGTGAAAAACTCATTTCTGTATTGTTTTATCTTTAACAATGTAAAAGTGGTGGCCATAATCAGTCTGGTTCTCTAATTGATTCTGTCTGCTGTATAATTAATTTTGCTAGGTGTAAGTTAATTAGGGTAGTGGGATGTAATTGGTTAGAGAATTATGTTACAATATGTTAGAATTGGTTAGTTAAATTTCAGCACAATGATTGGCTAAGGTATAGCTGAGAATATTACTATATAAACGGAGTCAAACAGGAGAGGGAAGAGAAATTGGAATCATAGAATCATAGATTCTATGAATCATAGAATATCAGGGTTGAAAGGGACCTCAGGAGGTCATCTAGTCCAACCCCTTGATCAAAGCAGGACCAATCCCCAACTAAATCATCCCAGCCAGTGCTTTGTCAAGCCAGACCTTAAACACCTCTAACGAAGGAGATTCCACCACCTCCCTAGGGAACCCATTCCAGTGCTTCACCACCCTCCTAGTGAAAAAGTTTTTCCTAATATCCAACCTAAACTTCCCCCACTGCAACTTGAGTCCATTACTCCTTGTTCTGTCATCTGGTACCACTGAGAACAGTCTAGAGATCCATCCTCTTTGGAAACCCCCTTCAGGTAGTTGAAAGCAGCTATCAAATCCCCCCGCACTCTTCTCTTCTGCAGACTAAATAATCCCAGTTCCCTCAGCCTCTTCTCATAAATCATTTGTTCCAGTTCCCTAGTCATTTTTGTTGCCCTCCGCTGGATGCTTTCCAATTTTTCCACATCCTTCTCATAGTGTGGGGCCCAAAACTGGACACAATACTTCAGATGAGGCCTCACCAATGTCGAATGTTTGCTAAGGGGGGCGGGAATGGGAAAAGGGAACCCGGACACAGGCAAACCTCTGCGGCATGAGAGCTGAGAAGGGGGTCACGGGGTAAATGCTTTGCGGCATCAGAGCTGGGAAAGGAACATTGGGGAACAGATTATATTGGCATATAGAGATAAACCTGACTGGTGTGAAGAGCTTTGGAATACGTAACCTTATAGGGGTAAAAATTGTACAGGCGACACTACCATCCTGTGACATCAACAACAAAGTGGCCATTTGTGCCTGGGTAGGGGCCCTGCTATGGGAGGGAGGAAGGCAGCAAGGATTCAGCATCGGTGGCCAGGGTCGCTGTGCATAGAGATGGGGAGGTTATATGGGGAGGGGGGTAATGAGTGAGAGAGGGAGGTCAAGAGTTAAAATAATAATATTTGGGGAAAAAATGTATAATGAAGTGAAACTGAACAGAAATAAAACTGGAGTGTAGGCTCTAAAGCAATAAGGCTTGGGTAGGGATTTGGGGTTAAAGGTCTGGGATCCCCCACAGCTCTAGATCCCCAAACCTCTTCTCCCTCCCACTGACCCATCCAGCCCACTTCTTGGGTGCCCTTCCTCCACACACTCCTCCCGTTCTTCCCATTACTCTCAGCCATCACCACCTCCCGGTACCTTGGTAGCTTCTTGTGTTTCCTCCTCGTCACTCACTACCTCCTCCCTCCCTGCTGCTTCTTAGCTCTAATCCTGCACACACCCTCCCCATGTCCTGGCACCCCAGAATTAGCTACTCCCCCTTCTCCTCCCCTCCCACGGCTCTGTTCTCCCTTTACCCGTGGGGTCCTGAATGGCAACATTATACGCTCTCCTATCAAAAGAAGAGCTCATCTGACTGTCACACAAGCCATGCATGAGTCATACACCTATTTACTCAATTTAGAATTCTACAGGCGGCATATTTTCCTCTTAAAATGAGGAAAAGGTATGAAAGCTACAGTTATTAATGTAGCCAATAAGGATACATTAAATGCAATTTTAAAATGACTGATGGCACCAGAAAGGCACATGTCCAAAAATTATAATAGTGGGTGGGAGATAAGGCAAAAAAAGGGGGGCAAGGAAACTTGTCAAAACTTGTATTATGAATAAAGGTATAAAGTTATTACTACTCAGGTTCTTTAGCAACCCCACAGCTTCTAATAACCAACTCCTTGTCTTTAGCACTCAGATGCCCAACTCCCAATGGGGTCTAAACCTAAATAAATCCGTTTTACCCTGCATAAAGCTTATGCAGAGTAAACTCATAAATTGTTCGCCCTCTATAACACTGATAGAGAGATATGCACAGTTGTTTGCTCCCCCAGGTATTAATACATACTCTGAGTTAATTACTAAGTAAAAAGTGATTTTATTAAATACAGAAAGTAGGATGTAAGTAGTTCCAAGTAGTAACAGACAGAACAAAGTAAGTTACCAAGCAAAATAAAATAAAATGTGCAAATCTATGTCTAATCAAACTAAAAAGAGATAAGATCCTCACTAGTTCCAGAATGCTCCCTTTTACAGGCTAATCTCCTTTTAGCCTGAGTCCAGCAATCACTCACACCCCCTGTAGTTACTGTCCTTTGTTCCAGTTTCCTTCACGTATCCTGGGGGGTGGAGAGGCTCCTTCTTTAGCCAGCTGAAGACAAAATGGAGGGGTCTCCCACGGGTTTAAATAGACTTTCTCTTGTGGGTGGAGACCCCCCTCCTCACTCCTATGCAAAGTCCAGCTCCAAGATGGAGTTCTGGAGTCACCTGGGCAAGTCACATGTCCCTGCATGACTCAGTCTTTACAGGCTGAAGCCATTGTCCACATGGTATCTTGTATGTCTCCAGGAAGACTTCTTATATGGATTGGAGCATTCCAAGATGCATTGTTCTCCAAGTGTTTCCTGATCAGGTACTTAACCTTGTGAATCCATCCTAAAGAAACTGACCAAATGCCTTACAAAGCTTACTTAGAAACCAAGCAAGTACACAGCCCATATTCTTAACCTCATATACATATATGTGTACAAATAGGATGAATAGATATAGTAGACCATAACCTTTACGGAGATACATTACATGGCACAGGCAGCACAACATATTCCAGTTATGTCATACATACATTTATAAGCACCCCCCCATAAAGCCTTTTGGGGTACACTGTCATACCTATCCCTACCCTCCAGCGCTTGGATTCTTTACATGCTTTCACAGAGCTAAGAGCACATGTTCCATGATTTCGTAGGGCAGAGTTTTAGGGCTATTTTGATTCAGTTATCTATGCCAAAGGGTGCCTTCACTGTGTGGATTTCAAAGGTGGATGCACATTGTGACCCTTCTCAGGGTGCTGAGGGCTGTGAGTCTCCTTGTTGCCATCTGCCACTAGAAAGAGGGACTTTTACATTTGGCAGCTGGATGTCAGTGATGAAACTCATCCAGCCTGTCATACATTCAAGCACCCTCTTCTGAGCTGCAGCAGCCCTGACAGTTGACAATAGAGGCACCCAACCCCTGAGTTCCTTCAATGTGTCCCCCTCTGGGGTCCAGCCCCGATCACCAGACACTCAGAGAAATCCCAGATCCTCTCTTCCCGAAGCAATGGTACATACCAGGTTACCAGTTTTACTGTAGACCACTGCTACTGTATCACACACAGCACTTGTGTACAGTTATTGAACAAACGGAAATTTATTTAACAAGGGATAGAGATTTAAACAGAAACAAATGTGAGTGATGGAAACCAACTGTTACCAACAAAACAAAATCACAAAATGCAACCTCCACTTTTAATAGTTACCTTTCCTATCTAAGTAGATTTTCACCTCACACGTCAGTCTATTGCAATGATTGCTAGTCCCTAGAAGCCAGGGCCCTGCCTTTCATAAAGAACCACTGGTCAGTAGGGATCTCCTTGGCAAATGGACCCAGAGTGTTTTTCTCCACCCTGTTATAAACCGAATCAGACTTTTCTCTTTATTCACAGAAAGGACAATCTCCTCATTGTGATATTGTCCTTTTCACTTTCACAAGGATTCAATGTCTATAGTTTGTCTTTGATGGTTTTCCATTCATTTTTCTGGGTTGGTGCAAAGATTGACAATTGAGCAATACATTGCATAATTGGTCAGCAAGGAACAGAAGACAATTCCCTCCCACTTGAATGGGCCATCCCCACCAAGACCTATGATTGGGGTGACTCACTTTCATGACAATACCATAGGGGCATAATTTTCCATGTACTTACATTACTCCTTAAATATGACTCGTACACACCTCTTGTAGTGCGTAGGAGTATCAGTAATTTACAAGCTCTCAGTAGAGATCTCACTGCTATGCTTCTTGGATAAATATCATAAAAGCAGTGTATTAGCTGTGGTGTATTTGTCAGGTCTGAGACAGGAGTTGCTTGTGAATAACAATGACCCCCTTTGCCAATTGGCACCAATAAGCTTTTGTCACACATGCACTGAGCTACACAGTCACACCCTGATATAATAGAAAGGCCAGCACAAAAAATAGAAAAAGGAACAATAAGATACTAAAACGACAATGGTTGGAACTCTCCATTTCTCTCAGTCTTTGCATTCATGGGCACTAAGAGCTGTAGCTACAGTTGAGGAACCAGGCGATCGGACAGCTGGCTCAGCCCTCCATACTAGCAGCTTTCTCACATACAGGGAGATGGGTCAAATTTGGAATTGATGTCATGATTCGCTTCCCATAGGGGATCAATCTGTCTAAGGCTATGTCTACACTTCAAACACTGGAAATATTCTTCTGGCAACCTAACACTGTCTACAGTGGGGCTCAGGTCACATTAACTACTTCTCTCAGTGGAGAGGACTTTTCACACCCCTCAGAGATGTGGCTATGTCAACATAGCTTTTCAGCATAGACCAGCCTTTAGATGTCTTATTGACCTAAAAGGAATGGACTTCAGCCTTTTCCTTCATATTGATGGTTGACGATTGCAGCTTCCCTACCTGCTGAACACATCCTATGACAGATGTCATGCCTTTCCTTTGCAAATTAGAGAAGTGGGGAAGTCAGTAACCCTTACAGTCTAAGTGGGTAAAAACTTATACACCTTGTCTTTTCGAATATTTAATAGAAATAGACTTTGAAACTAAGCAAAGAAAGTTCTATTTGAAACACAAAAAGTTAAAATCTATACAGGACCAATATTCTCTTATACACTCTTTCTCACACACATTCTTCCATCCCAACCATTGGAGTGAGGTTTTCTACTGGATCTTCTTACACTACAGGGGGTAAATTAAATCAAATTAACTTTTCAAGATTAGCCATCATTTCCTGTATGACTAACAAAACAAGAAAACAAGTATCACTTTTCCAAAATAATTCATATTATCATACAATTAGTCTCTTATTCTTTAACCAATAACTTCACCTATAATTTCATTTTCATTGGGAACAAGAACATATTCAAAGATCACAAATTCTTATAATATATGTTAGTTTTCTTTTAATGCCCATTGCCAACAACTGAACCCTGGCTCAATTTGTGGTTCGTCTCAATGTAGGTCCCAACCACTTCTATGAGTATATATATCTCAGGAGCTTCTGAAATATGTGGCCCATGTGCATCATGAGGAAAAATACCTCTCTTTTCACACTTTTTAATCTTTCAAAGTAGGTGAAGATAGAGGAGAAGTGATGTAAATGCATAAAACACAAGAGAGAACTGTCTGGTCTACACTAAAGACATTTTTCGGTATAACTATATTGCTCAGAGATGTGAAAAATCCACTCCACTGAGCAATGTAATTACACAGTCCTAACCTCCTGTGTAGATAGTGATACGTCAGCAGGAGAGCTTCTCCTGCCAACATAGCCACTTCCACTTGTGGGGGCTACACTAATAAAGTCTGATGGGAGAAATCGCTCCCATTGGCTGAGAGCATCTGTAATAGCAGTGCTACAGCAGCGCAGCTACATTATGCAGCTGCGCCGACATCAGCTTTATTGTATAGCTATAGCGTCAGACACAAAACCATAGAATCAGGACTCAACATGCGAGTATCCAGAAGTCTGAAATTGGAGCCTGACACATTAGTTGCCTCATGGGTTACCATCATTTCTACAGCCTGAAAGTCCTTGTTACCCAATCAGGCAGCCAGTTTGGGATTCACGGGGAAGGAATGTCCTATGAAGCACTCTCTCTTTTCATCCAAATGGTGAAGGATGATTGTTCTCAGTCTAACCCTGGTATCCTCTGGAACTGTAATCAGTGACACTGAACTAGGAAGTGGAGTTGTACAAACAATTTTCCTTGGGTCATTGGTCCCCATAGCTTCCTTTACTGGGGTGGAAACCAAGAACTGAGTGTGTATTCTTTCCACCCCAGTTCTTTCCAAATCCTTGACCTTGGTTAGGGTAAATTTACACTTGTCTGAAGTAGAATCCTTTACAAAACCACTCCAAATCTTAGCCATGTTAGTGAGGAATGGCTTCCCGAAGCATGCCCAGCTTTTCTTTAATTAGGTGGCACAGTTCCAGGCAAGGGACTGGATACAGCGCTAGATCATAAACTTTGTTTGTTACCAGAGCTGGAGATTCTACTCAAAAATAGCTATTTTTCTGCAGCTATTAGATTTCCAAAACTGATTTTATACACATTTTCAACACCTACAAAGGATAAATTCAACAAAAAACCCACTTCTATTTTCTCAACATCTGTGTCATGAAGGGCAGCATTCCCCATAACATAGAATTAGCTAGGAGAGATCTTTTGTAGGGCCTGGGCTACACATGATTTGGCAATCAAATACATGGGCATTTTGCCTACTTCAAAATCACTTACCGTGGAATTCTCTCCCCAGATCATCTGAGACAATATTGACTTTAACAATTGAACTACACTGTGATCATATGCATTTCCTTCAGTTAGTTGGGGTTTGCTGTTGTTCACCATTTCTGAATGGAGATTTTAAATCACTGCTGTTTCTTTGTTAGCATGTCCAGTAAATTGGAGAGTTCTCTCCTGTTGACAGATCTGCACTTGAACTTTCTCCATGTCATCATAGAGGGATGGGGAAAAAGCAAAGCTGAAGTGAGAAATGATGACTTTAGCTAATGGTCATATGTCTTAAGTTCTCCAATAAATCTGAGCTACATCATATCAAACTGAACTAATATCCAACTGGGTGACCAAACAGCCTTCAGGAAAGATAGAAACCCACACCACAGAGAGACAGAATATATGACAATGGAAGTGTCAAGTGAAATTCCAGAGCAGGTTACATCTGATTATTCAGAATCAGGACAAGACATTCTCCCATCACATTCTCCTCTGATTCATTCAAACCTGCTTCACTCACCACTGTTTCAATAGTCAGTTATGTTATTTACAACATTTTTAGTATCCTAGCATTGCCATAATGGGGGACAAAATAGCTACCTTGTAAGAAGTGGCTTTACCAATAGATGGAACCTCGGATTTAAACTCTAAATGATCAAACTGTGTTTGGGATTCATTTGAATTTCCCTTTCAGGTCTTTGACACTTTCATCTCCACTCATAGTGACTCTGATATAGGATTAAAGAAGTCAAAGCATCATCTCCAAGCACAGACAATGGAGAATGCTTCATCACATGACACTTTGAGAAGTGGATGGATAGAATGTGAAGAAGATAAACTCTGCATGGCTCACACAAAAGGTAACAGTTCTGCGGTGATGGGGAAGGAGGGAATCTCTGAGTCACCCTGTATCCTTCTGGTGTCACAGGGGCTGAAATGACACTTTTTTCCCTGCCTCTGGTCCTCTTCATTTACATATAATTTGTAAAGTTCCCAATATTACTGCTCTTCAGCACAACCCAGAGCAATGTGAGAATAACTGGCAATGATATCATCTGACTCATTGGTGACTCTAACAATAACTTTGCAATAGGAGGAATGGTATAAATCTGATGGTCCCTGGTTCCTGAGAGGAAGGGCACACTTCCATTACTCATGAGACAATGGAGTTGATAGAAAGGACAAATGGGTCCACCTCAAAACAGGGGAAACTGCAAAAAGGCAAAACTGGGCCACTCATCTGGTCAAGTTGAAGGATAACAGTGCTGCAAACAGTTCAAACAGCTTCAAAAGTTACTATGTGGGAATCAGGAAAATTTTTAAAGAAAAAGTATTGATAGCACTAGAGGTTTTTATGGTGTTGATCTCCCTTGCAGATTCTCTGATGGCTAAAATGCTCTGAGTACCAAGAGAAGGTATTCCCACACTCACTGCATTCATAGGGCCTTTCCCCTGTGTGGATTCTCTGGTGGGTAAAAAGGTTTGAGCTACGATTGAAGGTTTTCCCACAGTCACTGCATTCATAGGGCCTCTCCCCTGTGTGGATTCTCTGATGTTCAGAGAGGGCTGAGCTGGTAGTGTAGTTTTTACTACACTCACTGCATTCATAGGGCCTCTCCCCTGTGTGGATTCTCTGATGCCTTATAAGGTGCGAGCTGCGATTGAAAGTTTTCCCACAGTCACTGCATTCATAGGGCCTCTCCCCTGTGTGGATTTTCTGATGTTCAGAAAGGGCTGAGCTCTTAGTGAAACTTTTCCCACAATCACTGCACTTATAGGGCCTCTCTCTTGTGTGGATTATCTGATGCCGAATAAGGTGCGAGCTGCGATTGAAGCTTTTCCCGCACTCACTACATTCATAGGGCCTCTCCCCTCTGTGGATTCTCTGATGGCGAAAAAAGCCTGATCTGTGAGTGAAGTTTTTCCCACACTCACTGCATTCATAGGGCCTCTCCCCTGTGTGGATTCTCTGATGTTCAGAAAGGGATGAGCTCTTAGTGAAGCATTTCCCACACTCATGACATTCATAGGGCCTCTCTCCTGTGTGGATTCTCTGATGCTTAATAAGGACTGAGTAGTCACATAAAATTTTCCCATCCTCAGTGCATGTATTTTTTCTCTTTCCCCTGAGGATTTCCTGCTGTGTTGTGGTTTCATTGAGGTCCTTCTGAGTTCCCCGACAGGAAATACATTTACCCACTTTCTCCCCTGGATGGTTTCCCTGTTCTCTTTCTGGTCTGCGCTGAATCTCACAGGAGTTTCCCTGCTCATGACTCCTGGACACATTCCTTTTCGATCTTTGCGATAATGCTCTGTGTTTATCCACTTGCTCAATATTTTCCTTCTGAGAATTCTGCTCCTCTTTGTCACATACCATTGCATCACCTGCTGGGACAGAGACAGAAACCTCAAAGAGGGATGGAAAGGGGAAGGCCAAACCAAAACAAGTGCTGGAGAGAGGTCAAATAAAAATCAGGAACTGAACTCCCGCAAACTCTTCCCCAAATGTAGTAGTAGGATTTTATGTTGGTATTTTATATAATTTGGAATGAAGGATAAAGAATAATTATGTAGCATGTATTAAGTGTACTGGTGTATGATCTGATCACATCCTGCTAGACACCCTTTTTGAATAACAGAAAGGAATGGACTAATGGGCAAATACATCAGCCAGAATTTAGAATCATAGACTTTAAGGTCAGAAGGGACCATTATGATCATCTGGTCTGACCCCCTGCATGCCGCAGGCCACAAAACCGTCCCTACCCCTTCACTTGACTCTGCTGTTGAAGTCCCCAATCCTGTGTTTTAGTGACTTCAATTGGCAGAGACCCTCCTGCTAGTGATCCCTGCCCCATGCTGCGGAGGAAGGCTAAAAACCTCCAGAGGCTCAGCCAATCTACCCTGGAGGAAAATTCCTTCCCGACCCCAAATATAGCGATCAGTAAGACCCCGAGCATGTAGGCAAGAGTCTCCAGCCTGACCCCTGTTAGCCATTATACTATTTACCTACCATTGCTTGGTATTCCTTGGCTAATATGTTTTACCATTAAACCATTCCCTCCATAAACTTATCTAACTTAATCTTAAAACCAGACAGGTCCCTCGGCCTTCCGAGGGAAACGGTGGGGGT